CCATCTCTCACCAGTTAGAATGGTGATCATTAAAAAATCTGAAGACAGCAGATGCTGGAAAGGATGTGGAGAAATAGGAATGCTTTTACACTGTTGGTGGGAGTGTGAAATTAGTTCAACCATTGTGGAAGACAGTGTGGCCATTCCTTAAGGATCTAGGATGACAAATACCATTTGACCCAGCAATCCCATTACTGGGTATATATCCAAAGGATTATAAATCATTCTATTCTAGAGTCACGTGCACACATGTTTATGTGGCACTGTTCACAATAGCAAAGACTTGGAACCAATCCAAATGCCCATCAATGATAGACTGGATAAAGAAAATGTGGCACATATACACCATGGAATACTATGTAGCCATAAAAAGGGATTAGTTCATGTCTTTTGCAGGGATATGGATGAAGCTGGAAACCATAATTCTCGGCAAACTGATGCAAGAATAGAAAACCAAATGAAAACCAAACACCACATATTCTCACTCATAAGTGGGTGTTGAACAATGAGAATACATGGACACAGGGAGGGAAACATCACACACCAGGCCCTGTTGGGGCGGGGGTGGAGCTAGGGGAGGGATAGCAGGAGGTGGAGGTCTTGGGGAGGGATAACATTAGGAGAAATACCTAATGTAGATGACAGGAAGATTCATGCAGCAAACCTTATGTATGGCATGTGTATACATATGAACAATCCTGCATGATCTGCACATGTACCTCAGAACTTAAATTACAAAAAGAAGATATAGCAGTTATTTTTAATAATTACATTAAATTTAAGAATAATCTTAATAGATTGTCCTGATGGGGATGACTAAAGCTTACTTGAGATAAATCTATGGCTTAAGTAATTTATAAAGAAAAACAAAAAAATATAGTTATCTCATCACTAGAATGTTTAAACAGATGATTATCTTGCAGGAATATATTTGGAAACACTCCTTTACTGATTTCTGCATGATCTCTTAGGGGTCCTCCACCAGTCTAATCTTTCAGTTTATAATTTACAGGAGTCTCATACTAGTTAATGTTGACCAGTATTGTAGTCAATAGCCTAGTCAGACTATAGCATGTGTTGTCTTGTCATCCCATCTCTATTCCTGTAACAATGATTTTATTTATCTGCATTCATAAGGATAAATAATCTATCTGGAGGACAATAAACTCACTGCTACCTTAAATGGAAAACATCACATACTGTTCCTAGCAAAGGATTGAATTTATTTTAAATAGAAGACAGGACACATATAACCATGTCAATAAAAACACTGTAATGATATTATGCATTTAAAAAATGTTAGTTGTTTTCACACCTAGTTAGTCCTACAGAAATATTAGGTATTTTAAAAACCATCATATTCTTACTCATATTTATATTCTTAGTCATTTTATTTCTAGCAAGATAAATAAATGCAATTGCTAGAGGTTGGAAGTCTTGAATGTAGACAATGTTTATTTAAGATGATATCCTATAATAAGCATTCAAAAATAAAATCCAAAAATAAGAAATTAAGTAATATAAGCTTATTGGATTAGTGATATATAGCATGGTGAGAAAATACAATAAATACCCTCAAGGATCAAATTCTACCTGCTGTGATTCTCTTGGCAGAAGATCCATTGGATAACCATTGATTTCTTCCATGTGGGGTAAAATAAATTCTAACCAAGGGCCATTTTCCCAGTGGATATATAGATTTTCCAATAAAGCTTTGTGTTTATAGCCACAGAAAGACTATATGCATTTCCACTGGGAAGTGAGTGATTGAGAATATAAATCACTTGGGAATCTTTGATCAAAGTATTTTTCTCTAAATTCTCTACAGCCATCCTCACTTTTGCATCTTTCTGAAGCCTGGGTTCTCCTAGAAATTTCAACTAACTTTTTCTAATAGAAACTACTACAACTAACTACTTTTTAATAGAAGGTAGATATACTGTAATCTAAATAATCTTCCCAACTAGCTTTTTGGAAGCGATTTCTTCAGAGATACAAGAAAAAATTATTAGTAACATACACTTTGAGTAAAAATCACTATTTTCATCAAGCTGTCAATCTTTTCACTCCTACCCTTTACCATGTGAAATGCAAGCTTTCAATTATCCTCTTATGCACATTCATCATTTGATGGCTAATGCTTCTTCCTTTTGATTTTGTTTCCCCACCGCTGTGCTCCAAAACTTGTACATAACTTCAGGATCTAAATGAACTATTTCTTTCTTCCTTTGCCTTCACTAAGACTCAGTTTTCCCTAAAGTGCCGTTACCTTTTCCCTAGAGAGCCTGTTACCTTCCGAAGTGGAAATGAGTCAAACTCCCATTCTAATATATTACAAGCCAGGATAAATAATGGTGCTAATGGCATTAAATTGACACCATTGTTTTTCTTCATTGAAAGAGAACCCCTTTATTCAGTTTCATGAAATACGTCACTAGTCAATATAAAAACTTCCTTTACTATCATATTATTGAGGTCTTTCTGATCCTTAGCTCAGCTATGTCTCAGTTCTTGTCTCACAACCAGAAAAAATTATGTGCAATGACACCAGAGAGTGAGTGGAGTAGAATTTATTAAGCAAAAGGAAAGCTCTCAGCAAAGAGGCGACACAGAGGGCGGTTACCCTACCTGAAGTGGGAAAGTCACCCATGTGGTTGGGAATGGGAAGTATGTGCCAATCGGTTTGTGAGTATGCAAAAAACATTAAATAAATTGAAGACATCACTCAAAGGTGGGCACAACAGTGTAGAAAACCAATTAGGAAAGGGTGGGGATCAATCAAAGGTAAATGCACCAAACATGAAGACAAGTTTCTAATTTGGTGCATGGATAAAACTTGTAGCTTGACTTTCAGGGCTTAAACTTGTCTTCGGCTTGGAGGCGGGGTTTCACTGGGGACCCACCCCTATCTGCTTAGGGATTTGGCTGCCTCCTGCTTCTCTTAATATTTAATCTCCAAATTATTATATTTTCCCCAAGTATTAGAGAGGGTAGTGAGTCCCAACTTAAAATCTCTTGATGTCAGTTCCTACTGTCATCAGGGAAATAATCTAACATTCATGTTTTAAACATGCCCAACAATATAGTTATAAAGATCTATTCAATTTCAATACTAGCCTGAGGATTCCATTCCATAGCCCACTACATGGACATATGCTGGAACTTAGATGTGTTATGAATCTTTCATTTTTTCTGTCATAATCTCTAAAGTTGAAAATATATGTATTTTTTTATAGCTGACTTCTCAAATCATATTGCAGCTGAATGCTGTTCCAGGAAATAATTATGGCTTATAAACTAGTGACAGCTCAAATCACGCTCTCTAAACTACCTTATCCATTAGTAACCCCAGGGCAATCAAGCATTTCCTGAGATTTTAGCCATATTTTTCTTTCCAAAATACTTATACCAAACCTTTCAACTCTAAAGTCTCTTTATTCATCTGCTTAATTCTCTCTCCTAACATGGGCTGGAATACAATATTATGGAAAATATTGATATTTTTAGGGGTAAAAAGTATGCAATTTTCTAAAGCTAGAAATCATAGAAATGGCATCCCACCAGAAATCAAGGAACATTTACCTGAGAAAATGCTGGTTTATGCAGAGTGCTTTGGAAGATTGTGTTTAGAAGGTTAAACATAACTTGAAGTAATTCAAATCCGGCAGGAGATGTGTGTGGAAGGGTAGGTTGGAAGCAAATAGAGCAATTTTAACTTGATGTTTTCATCATACACACCTTTCACAAAGATAAATATTATCCTTTTGAACTTCCAGCTATCCATAGGAGTTAATTTATACAGAGCCACAGAAGACTGGATGAACAGCATGAACATTTTAGTAGCAGAAAACATTGGGAGATGTCAGAACAAAAATGATCTGTTTAAAGAGACAGAAGAAAAGGAGGCAATTCATCAGTTATATTAGTTGAGGTCATTTCAGGGTAGTTATTCATTTAAAAGGTCAATGTGTAGATTTTCTTTGCAAATGGAACAAATTAAGAAAATGATAGGCTGAGTGTCCATTACACACTGACTGTTAGCACAGGGTTCCTGTTAGTACGACACTGATGAGCCTTTGAATAGAATGGGATTAGGAATTGATTTTTCAACTGTTAAATGGTATCAGAACAGGTAAACATATAAGGTTGTGTGGTTTGGAACAAAGCTTCATGAATAGCTTTTTAAATAATTAATTATTTCTCCTTTTGTTAATGCTCTGTTGCCAAGGCCAGCACTGCTGTTTAGTAATTCCTTTTAATAAGGCTTCTCAAAGCTGCTTTTAAGTTAGATTCCATTTGAAAGGAAAATAATTGACTACATAAAAGAATTAGAAATCACCATATTAAAACCAGATGTTTAAGTGAACGGTTTTGTTCCTTTTATGCTTTCAAAGTATACTCTTCCTGTTAAGAAATAAAACTATCAGAAAATATGCAATATCTAACAAAATTATTTTGCAACAGTGAAATTCAAAAATAGTTTAATCAAGTAAGGAGATACACTATGCTGTGCAATCTAATATGTGATAAGAAGAGTAATTGAGCAATGTTGCATTTATACAGTATCTTAGAGCAATAAACAGAGGCTTATTTAACTGAATACTTTAAGTAAAATGACAATTGCCAGTTTTGCAATAGGATGTCATGTCTTATTTTTTCTAGTAATGATTGGTTTTTGTTTTGTTTTGCTTTTTTTGAGACAGATTCTCACCGTGATGGCCAGGCTTGAGTACAATGGTGTGATCTCAGTTCACTGCAACCTTCACTTCTCAGGTTCAAGTGATTCTCCTGACTCAGCCTCCTGAGTAGCTGAGACTACAGGCTGGCTAATTTTTACATTTTTAGTAGAGACAGAGTTTCACCATATTGGCTAGGCTGGTCTCAATCTCCTGACCTCAAGCCTCAGCCTCCCAGTATGCTGGGATTACAGGTGTGAGCCACCACACCTGGCCTCTAGCAATGCTAATCAATGTCTAATGTCTAGTGTTTTTATTTTTCAGATGGTTTAGTAGACACCTGTTAATTTGTCTGCCTGGCATTTATCCATCTTCCTCATGGTAAGTGCACCCCAATTTTCCTTGATAATCCATGCCTCATTAAGTATTAGCCTATGAGGTCTAGATGCCATTGGTTCCAGGGATGATAACAGAATCTAGGGATGGTTTATTAGAGCATGTCATTCTTTCAACCACAGTGATTGGATTAAAGATGGATGGAAGATACTATCATGTGATTCAGAACCAATAACATTCAGTTTATTGACTGGCATGGTATGAACAGGAAGATCCATTTACACCTGAAGTAAGAAAATGTAAGCCGAATACTTCTTTACTTAAGCAATTTTGAGCTGAGTTACTGTCTCTTATAAAAAAAAAGTGACTAAACTGAAACAAATGGCTTCTTGGAGAAATCCCTAATGTACTATGGTGTTTTAAACACTTATACTCTTAAAGTGGCATGGGCCATCCCCTCACCTCTTTCCCTCATAACACTCTTTTCTGGTTCTGATCATATAAAAGAGATAATGGTCACTTCCTTTTTATAATTTTTCTTTATGAGGTTAAATGACACATACAAGTAAAAGGATAGTATCTCAACCAAATGTTACGGATTCTAAAACTAATCACTCGGTGCAATTAATCTGTGCTTATGCTAGTGTTTGTTTGTGCTGCCTCCTCCCACACCAAGTCTATTTACTTTGTTCATTTACCAACATGACTCAAAATACAATCAAAGCTTCAAAAAAAAAATTACAGCAGATGGGTGTCAAATTATATTGTAAAATTTATCAAGTCATTCCTAAGGTTACATTAAATAAACAATAGGAAATCTTACCTTTGCCCATGATTGAACTGAGAAAAGAAATACATGATATATTACAGAATCAAATCACAGGTAATGTTCTTACAATGGGAAAATAAAGTAAACAAAGGAATAAACAAACAAAGCTGTATTTGTAAAATATTTGAGTATAGAATTCAATATAATTGACCTAAATAAAGTAATTGATTTCACCCTCATAAGAGGTCTGAATTGGATCTTAAATATTAGGTCATTACTATGAGTAATGACAGGGATACAGAAAAATATAGGTCCACAATGAAACTCACTTTCAACTAATTGAGCAATATTGAAGGTGATTTGAAACCTCTTTGATATCCTTAAATAGTGGAAATTGATCCCTCCTTGTAATAAAGCTTGGCCTTCAGACAAAGCTTGATTTTTCTACAAGATATAAAATGGCAAAAAAGAAATCTTTTAAAAAAGACTACTCAGCATGTACTTCATATTTTTTCAGTGAGAGAAAAAAACTAATTTTGCATATCCATTAAAACATACTTGATAGTGAGTTTCCTGCTAAACCCTTAAATTAACAATTGAGCTTTTTTTGGTATATTTTATTTCTTTTTTTTTTTATTTTTATCATTATACTTTAAGTTCTGGGGTACATGTGCAGAACATGCAGGTTTGTTACATATGTATACACATGCCATGGTGGTTTGCTACATCCATCACCCCATCATCTACATTAGGTATGTCTCCTAATGCTATTCCTCCCCAATCCCTCCATTCCCCTGCTATTCTTTTCTTATCCCCCCAACTCCAGACAGGCCCCGGTGTGTGACGTTTCTATCCCTAGGTCCATGTGTTCTCATTGTTCAATACCCACTTATGAGTGAGAACAGGTCGTGTTTGATTTTCTGTTCTTGGGTCATTTTGCTGAAAATGATGGTTTCCAGCTTTATCCATGTCCCTGCAAAGGACAAGAACTCATCCTTTTTTATGGCCACATAGTATTCCATGGTGTATATGTGCCACATTTTCTTTATCCAGTCTATCATTGATAGGCATTTGGATTGGTTCCAAGTCCTTGCTATTGTCAACAGTGCCGCAATAAACATATGTGTGCATGTGTCTTTAGAATAGAATGATTTATAATCTTTTGGGTATATACCCAGTAATGGGATTGCTAGGTCAATTGGTATTTCTATTTCTCGATCCTTGAGGCATCACCACACTGTCTTCCACAATGGTTGAACTAATTTTACACTCCCACCAACAGTGTAAAAGCATTCCTATTTCTCCACATCCTCTCTAGCATATGTTGTCTCCAGATATTTTTAATGATCACCATTCTAACTGGTATGAGATGGTATCTCAATATGGTTTTGATTTGCATTTCTCTAATGACAAGTGATGATGAGCTTTTTTTCACGTTTGTTGTCTGCATAGATGTCGTCTTATACTGAATAATTCAGTATAATTTCAGTATAAGATGTCACTTATACTGAAAAGTGTCTGTTCATATTATTCACCTGCTTTTGATGGGGTTGCTTCTTTCTTGTAAATGTGTTTAAGTTTTTTTTAGATTCTGGATATTAGCCCTTTGTCAGGTGGGTAGATTGCAAACTGTTTTCCCATTCTGTTGGTTGCCAGCTCACTCTAATGGTTTTTTTTTTTTTTTGGCTGTGCAGAAGATCTTTAGTTTAATTAGATCCCATTTGACTATTTTGGCTTTTGTTGCCAGTGCTTTTGGTATTTTAGTCATGAAGTCCTTGCCCATGCCTATACCCTTAGTGGTAACACCAAGGTTTTCTTCTAGGGTTTTTATGGTGTTAGGTCTTATGTTTAAACCTTTAATCCATCTTGAGTTAATTTTTGTATAAGGTGTAAGGAAGGGATCCAGTTTCAGCTTTCTGCATATGGCTAGTCAGTTTTCCCAGCACAATTTATTAAATAGGGAATCCTTTCCCCATTGTTCTCTTTAAGAAGTTCTCTTGCAATGATCTGCATATCCTTTCCTTAACTTTGTCATCCTCATCATCCTAACATCATTAGTGATAGAATTTAATTTTATAATACTCAGTAATATTGTCCTATTCAATATAATATCCTCCATAATCATTTTCATTAAATGATACCATAAACTCAGCATTGTGTTTAGTACTAGGTATATTTAAAATAAATATTATCTACTATTATTGCTATTTTTCTTATCCCATTGGTCTTTTTTGAATAGCATAGTAAAGTATCATATATATATATATATATATATGATTTAGTAAAAATTGAAATAGGCATTGAATATGAGGCTGGGGTACTGACTCACTTATACTTGAATTCTAGCTATAACTTTGGATAAATTAACAGATACTGCTTAGCCTCATTTCCCTTCACTTAAAATGGGAAAGTGATATTATTATTTACGAAGTACAATGACATTATTCGCCCAAAGAATTTAGCAAAGTGCTTGGTCGTAGTAAGTATTAATATTAATTAAAATAACAATAATATACTTTAGGCTGTTTTATTTTCATGAATATAAATGTTTTGACAGACATCAACTTTGGACCTCACACTTCCTAAAGGTTTTTTTTTTTAACTTATATAATTTAATTATCTTTTAAACATAAGATCTAAAACCTTCAATCTTTTTTTTTTAAATCTCTTTTTGTTTCCTTAGTTCTAGTCTAGGAATCAATGAAAGGTCTATTTTTTATTTAAAAATAGAAATATAATATAAACTATATTATCCTTTCTTTGCATACACAAAGTTCTTTGCACTGAACAAATATTATTCATAATCTCAGAATGCATTACAAATATTGGTTTAGGAGTCATGCAGCTGGAGACTACAAGATTCTGACCCTCCCTAAACTGCTCCTAAGACCAGTACTTGAAATATTTTGCAAACCCTGTACTTGATGGGTCAGCTGGCACCACACAGATCAATAAACTGGCTCATTGAATATTGTGGCCCCCACTCAGGAACTGACTCAGAGCCAGAATACAGATTCGAATCCTTATTATTTCATCCCTGACCAATCAGCACTGTCGGCTCAATGGTTTCTGCACTCACCAAGTTGTCCTTAAAAACTCTGCTCCCCAGATTCTCAGGAGACTGATTTGACTAAAAATAAAACTCCAGTCTCTCACACCGTCAGCTCTGCATGAATTACTCTTTCTCTATTGCAATTCTCCTGTCTTGAAAAATTGGCTCTGTCTAGGCAGCAGCCAAGGTGGTTACAATGAATGAAGTAGTCATGATGGCAGGATGGAGATTATGTTGGCATTCAGCAACATAGACTTCCACTCTCCGAGGCTGACCTGGCTATTGCTACTCTAGATGCCCAATCTGCCAATAGCAGAGATGAAGACTGAGTCCTCTCTGGGGTGATAAGCCTGCTACTTAGTAGCAGGTTGATTAGATTAGACCACTCCTATATGGAAGTGCAGCATTTTGTTCTTACTGGAGTAGACATATAATTTGGATGTCAATTGCTTCCCAATGCTTTTGCCAAAACTACTATCCATGGACTTACAGAATGCCCTATCCAAAATCATGTCATTCCACACAGCATTGTTTCTGATCAGTGAACTCATTTCATAGCCAGAAAAAGTACAGCAATGGGACCATGCTTATGGAAGACATTAATCTTATTATGTTATACATCATTGTGAAGCAGTTGGCTTGACAAAATAGTGGAATTGCCATTTGAAGACTGACTTACAGCACGAGATACATGGCAATACCTTCTAGGGCTGAGGAAAGCTTCTACAGAAGGAGAATGCTCCGAATCAGCGTTCAATATATGGTACTCTTCTCCTATAGCTAAGATTCATGGATCTGTGAGTCAGGGGTGGAAATAAGGGTGGAACCACTCACTGTGATCCCTAGTGACACATTAGCAAAAATTTGTCTCCTATTCTGATGAACTTATGCTCTGCTGGCTTAGAGGTCTTGTTCCAAAGGAGACAGTAGAAGCAGTAGAAGCAGTCTCCTTTAGAACAAGACCTCTAAGCCAGCAGAGCATAAGTTCATCGGAATAGGCAACAATAATTGCATTGACCTGGAAGTTTAGACTGCTGTTCAGCCACTTTGGACTCCTTATGTCTCTGAATCACTAGCTAATGAATGGAGTTACTGAGTTGGTTTGTGTGATTAAGCCTAACTACTGAGGGGAAGTTGGTCTTCTATTTCACAATGGAGATGTGAAATGGAGAACATAGTTGAAATACAAGAGATTTCCATCTAAGTATCACCATACCCTGTGAT